TGAAAGAAATGGCTGCACATACGTATGCACATTTTTTTATTATTTTTTTTTTGTTCTTTGATATTTATACTTTCATGTTAACTCTCACTTATATATACATATATAGCATTCCATGACCTCCCATTGCAGTGGCTGGTTTCAGGTGTCTGCACTTGTCTGATGTGTTAGGATATATAGACCCATAAAGTGCAGTTCGTTTGACATTGCCAAAGGATGTGTGTGTGAGGGCTGGGGGGGTGGGGAGTGCTGGTGGTTTGGGGGGTGTTCTGGTTTGGAAGGTGTCGAAATGAACTGTAGCCTGTAGGATGACCCAGACTGCCTGGCAGCCAAGGACTGACTTTGGATGACAGCAGCTAGAGACAGAGCTCATCACACCTGTCCCTACTGAGAAGGCAAATATATTACAACTTGTACTCAAATCTGTCTCTGCCAAAGACATCAAGATTACTTAAATTTTAGACTAGGGCTGCGTAATATGAGCATATGATGTTGTTGTTGTTGTTGTTAAACACAAAATGCTGCAGGTACTTCAAAAACTTTCAATTGTATGTATCATGTAGGAGGTGGGAAGGAAGTGGCTCGCAGTGGGCATTATGGTCAATGAATTATTTTATAATTAATATTTCTGAGGGTTGGTATACATCGCAGTGTAGTGAATTTATGTATTTTTCAAAATAGAAAACAGAACAGTGTACACAGTGGTTTCCCTGAGGTCAGCAAAAACAGTGCTGCTTGTTGTTTCATGTTCAAAATCATTTGTTGCCTTTTTTTCAGGCAGTGCGGTAAATGCTGACCATTTGAGATGGCATGAAACTTTGCATATCAGCCAATACCAATCCAACTTTTTTTTTTATATTGACATAAACTGGTTAGGATTTGAATGACCCATTTTTTTCAATGAATACTCAACTTAAGATGATCTTCTAAAAATAAGCGATCATTCTCAAAACTACTCAAACAGTTTACTACCCCACATTAAGAAATACACAGCTAAGATGACACCCAATTTCAGCCTAGATTTGTTACAGAACTGAATCAAATTCATTATTTTCTTCATATCCAATATAGCGTTTTCTACTAACATCGGCCAAATGTTGACACCCATATAATAATAATAATAATAATAATAATAATAATAATAATAATAATAAATGCTTACGCTTTTAGTCAGCAAGAGTGTAAAGTCGCTTTTGACCTGCTTGCTGACATTCTTGTCCTATTAGTCATAACTCTGCTCATAATCTCGATCACACCTGTGCTTGTGCCCTCTCTTGTACTTGCACGCGAGTCTGGCTGCGGCCCAGCCTGTACTTGTAACTCCATATCAGCAACACCCTGCCCTCTTACTCAAAGCCTGCCCTTACCTGTTACCTGTTGTTTAAAACCCTCACTAACCCACAATCAAACCAGTCCACACAGCAGCTTTCATTAGTGTGTCCCATGCTGTAACAGTTGATTCACTTATGAAAAGGACAGAAATAGAAGTAGGATAAAAAGGAGAAGAAGAACACTGCATTGGCTAAGACCTTTTGTGTTGGTGTGAATGAGCTTGGCTCTGCTAGTCCATTAGCACTTCTGTGAGCACACATCAAAACCCTTGCTGCATTCAAATGCCTCTCCAAGGCTTACTTTTTCTTCTTATTTGCTGAAAAGTGATGACCTGTGCTGTTGGAATCCCAGTGTTCTGCTGTAGGCCTGCTACTTGCTGAAATTATGATTTGTTGGTGTTTGCTAACTGTAAAGTTGGCACAAAGAAGTGAGGAGTGGAGATGGGAGAGACTCTACAATGTTATTTTATTATAGGCTATCGAATGCCCTAAGTGGCAGCTTTTCAGCACAAAGAAAATTAATTCTAGTCAGTGTAGCAGGATTTTAGTGATTTGGATCATTTGTATCTGTTAATCAAGAAATGTAAAGAACATTCATTCACAAAATTAAAGAGCTGCTGTAAAGAAATAAATAAATAAATAAATAAATAAATAAATAAAGGGGCACTGATACAACAGTGACATATTTCAGTGTAAATACTAAATATTTCCACAGTAATGACCACTGATCAGTTCTGTTAATGAATAAATTATTGATTCATGAGTCTCCCATGCTTGTTTGAGATGCTTCATAAATTTGTAACCAGACAGCTGCAGTTTGAAGTCTATGTTTGAGATTTTACCCTTCAGGCAAAGTATAATCTCAGCAGGCCACCCATTGAGAATGAAGTAAAGTGCATGCCTTATGTTTGGAGGTTCAGACTGAAACATAGGGCTGAAAGATTGATCTTTCTTATATCGCAGTCACATTTTGAAAGAGTGCAGTGTTCAAATTGCAAGAGCTGCTGTTTCTATTCTAGCCTATATTACCAACAGTGTTGTCTTAACAAATCTTAAATGGAGAAATTTAACCTGATAAGATGGAGCTTGTGATGAGCTGTCTGTTGATGACTGAGACCAATCAGAAACAACCAAATACCCATGTGCTGTGTACATGACAGCACAACCATTGGCACTCTGACATGGCGTGCTATGTTCTGCGTTCAAGCCTTAAACCAGAAAAAAGTGGATGTGTTGATCATCTCGACCAAAAAAGGCCCTCAAATTGTAGAAAATAATTATTGCATCCTGTTGTAGTAATGTGAAATAAATCGCGATTAGCTATTTTGCCCTTCCTTTGGCTCTTCTGAACAGACTTCATTAACATTATTATCAAGTGCTAGTTTTCTGATGTTACTATTAGAGCTATCATGTTTACTCAGGTAAAATCTATTAACCCTTTAAATGAACAGGTCCTGTGGTTTGCATTCATTTATCTTGTAAATTGCTGATTAAGTTAGTCAGCGTTGTTTTCTGTGTAATTACAGAATTAAAAGGGAACTTAAGGGGTTTAAATTTATAATGATGATGCATATTTTCAATTCTATTGGTTTCTCACAGAGCCTTATGGACACTCATATGCAGTTCATGACACAGTGTTTTTTTTTTATTTTTTATTTTTAAATTATTCATTATTAAAATATTTTTTGCTTATCTTTTTTTGTTTTGTTTTGTTTTGTTTAGGTCTGTTTTTATTGTTTGATCTTTTTTTTAAAAACCCTGATTCTGATTACTTAATTACTGACATAATCGATAGTGAAAGCCCTAGTTGCTATTGAGTGAAATACACTATTGAAAATTATCATACAGAGATTTACTGGTGGGTTTTTGCCAGTTACATCATTCATTTTGGAGAGGTGCTCTATAAGTATATTCTTTTGCTGTGAAGATGCTCTATAAATACATTGTTTTTTGGGGCTTGAATATCCTTCTTAAATAGACCTGTTACTCCAATAGTCTTTCCAAAACAATTGACAAATGATTCATCACGTCCAGTAATCTCTTTCTAAGTAATATAGGTGACAACAAAGTGTCACAGATTTAAAGTGACAGAGTGAATAGGCTATAAACGCCTCTCAGCCATCACTCACTGTCCTCTCAGCAAGACAAAACAAAAATACACACCCACACACACCCATGCATGCATGTGTGTATTTCAGTGAGTGGATGCATGCGTGTGTCCATTTCTGTTCCTTTGTCTCCATGTTGCAGAGCAGGTTAGAGAGTGTCCCCCACACTCCCCACCCCACCCAGTACGTCAGATGGCCCATTCTGTGTGTGTGTGGATGTGTGTGGATGTGTGGATGTTCTCATATGTTTGCTGAATATTGCTGCCACTCAGTCAGCTCCACTCAGGTTTGGATGAGGGATGTAACCCGACCGCCCCTTCGCTGATGCAGGCTGTGTAAATTAAACATGTCCCCCCTCCCTCTTATTTTTCACCTCCTAAATTAAAAGGTGACGTCTTCCCTTTGGAAATAGATCTTATGTGCAGTGTTTACCATCATGGTGCAAAGAGAGAGAGAGAGAGATATGATGAGGGGGGCTCTCAGACTCTCTATTCCAGACAGCTGATTGTAAAAAAGCCGACATCTAATCCCGCTACCGTGGGGCTGGATCAGCAAGCCCACTGTCTCCCAGCTTGGGGGAGCTGCGGTTTGAGTCAGGATGGATCACTCTCCTCAGGGTGTCAACCAATAGTCCACTTCAGATTTGGACCTGTAATCCTCCATAGGTTAATATTTCTAGCTGGATGTGTTTGCATGAGCATGTTTTAGTATATTTTCAGGACAGAAAATGATCATATGATGTTGAGAAGAAACAGAAAACCTGCAGTCAAGACCAACAAAAAGGTCCTGACTTTGTAAAATAGTGAGGATGGGTGTTTTTTTTTTTTTTTTTTCCCTTAGTTTTTTTTTTGTTTGTTTGTTTTTTTTGTAAAAGCTATATATTTCATTTTTTTTGTTAAAGAAGTTATAGTTAGTGATAGGTTTTGAAAACTGAAGATATCTGCAGATATTGTTATGATTCCAGTATCAGCGTGCAACCCTAATACATGTTGTCATTGTTGCAACAAAACCTTGCACCTCTGAAAATGAAACTTAACTTTAATGTATTTTAATGTCATGAAGTAGTTTCAGTTGATCAATTCACTATGAAATATAGATACAAGTGGTATGGGGAAAAATAAATAAAACTGAAAAAAAGACTTCACAGCAATAAGATGCTCCTTTATAATAATAATTTAAAAAATGAGGGGCTCTTCATAGATTCTTTTAATAAAGGCAATGGATATGTGTGCATTCTATATAGAACCAAAAGTGTTCAGCTACTGTTACAAGTCTTTTTCTGTACTATGTATAACTTGTTGCAAAAAGTGTTTGTTATTATGACACATGGGACATATGTATGACCTTTTGTCCTGACATTGTATAAAAACAAGCGTGTGCGTGTGTCTGTGTTTGTGTGAGCTCCTGTCCTGCGTGGCTGGCCTTGTTTCTGTCTTCGCTCTGCCACGGTAGCGGTTACTCATGGGCCGAGCATGTTAGGAGGGTTTATTCTTAGCGCCCCGTCCCTCGATCAGTCATTGGAGAAAGGTTGGAGGGTCAAAAAATAAAGAGGTAACCAGTGGAAGGGCCCATCCGCGTGCTGTTTACCAGGATATTTTAGACCCTGAAGAGATCACATATTTACTGCCAGGGGTTGGATGATCTTGCCATTTGGCATGGAGAGGGAGGAAAAGAGCACAGGCGGGCCAGAGCTGGAGAGAAAGTGAAAGGGAGAGAGAGAGAGAGCGTGAGGGGCTGTAAAAGAGAGGATTGCTCTGGACTCTGCAGGAAAAGAGGACAGCCTTATTTCAGTCTAAAAAAGCAACAGAACAGGACAGAAGTGAAGTGAAACTGAAGCCCGGAGGAGGAGCTGCTGTCCCAGGGCTGGTCCCTGTGCTCCACAGCAGCTCACTGCCAAGGCGTGCGTGTGTGTTTTTGTGTGTGTATGCGTGGAGGCGTGATGAGAACGCGGGGAGAGGCTGCGGGACGGGGAGGAGTGCACACTCGGCCGAGATTTACCGGGACTCCGTGAGGCGCAGGCAGCCCACTGGAGCACAGGACTCTACTGAATTAGGCAGAACAGACGTACGCACTGGCTGGCTGAGTGTATCTTTCCCTTTGACAGGGAAATACAGGAAGAAAACTTTAGCGGTTTGTTTTTTTATACTTGTTCTGCAGCTGCATAAAGGACCAGCATCTCCGGCACCATGAGTCGATGGCTTAAATGCACCTCCATGTATTTTGTAGGTATCCCGCTGATTCTTTCAAAAGGAAGATTGTTGTCATTTGAAGGCTACTTCTAGAACATAAAGGTCTAAGACTAAACAATTGGCCTTTAAGACTGTGGGCCAGTTTTCGCTAGCTTCATGTAAATAGACTGGTTACTAGGAGCCTTTGAATCCTTGATTAGTCAAAAATGAAAGCAAAACAACTTGCAAAATATTGTTTGTCCATCTAATTCTGTGTTGTTATTGCAGATGGTTATGCATGACTGGACAACTAAGGTGTATATCAAAATCTGGGCTGTTTTATGAATGTGTTATAAATTCTTGGCCTAAATAATGTGTTGGTGTGTCTCTCTCTCTCTCTCTCTCTCTCTCTCTCTCTCTCTCTCTCTCTCTCTCTCTCTCTGTGTGTGTGTGTGTGTGTGTGTGTGTGTGTGTGTGTGTGTGTGTGTGTGTGTTGATCACTGACCCACTAGGGGAGAGTGACTTATGGCTTTCTCCATAGCTGCGAGGAATCCTGGAATGCACCACAATGTTACTGGAGAACGCAGTGCTGATTTAATGTGATATTTGCAGCCTCTGGGAATTAACAACTTGTTTAAACGTGTTATCAACTTCAGTTCTTTTCTACGCAGTCATTTAAAAGCCCTCATGAGGCGATTGTTATAAAACATTTCTCAGGATACACTTTTATAATGATTTGTTTTCTGTGGAAATAAGCGATATTGAAGGTCTCATTGCTCTTGAGAAACTGGTACAGCAAAATTCCATTCCTCAGAATCACAAGCAGACGTTTCTTATATTCACTTTGACAGTTGTTCACATTGAATCTATCACCTGCACACACCCTTTACAGCACAGAACATATTTTTGGGTCCATATTGGCAGGAAAGCACATTCTTCAATTCTTGCCTTTTAATACACTAAACATTTCTGTGAGTGCATTTGTAATGATCTCTCTATCTCTCCCTCTCTTTGTCTCTCGTTCTCCCTCTCTCTGTCTCTCAGAACACAGACTGGAACAAATATGACGACAGGCTGATGAAGGCAGTAGAAAGGGGTGAGGTGGACAAGGTTGCAGCTGTACTCAGTAAGAAGGGCATCATCCCCACAAAACTAGACGTTGAGGGTCGCTCTGCGTAAGTACTCACACTGGCATATTCACACAAACAATCATGTAAACTAGATGGGTTTTGACACAGATACCTTATTTACATGCACATTTCTGCATTTGGTCGACACTCTTATCTAGAATGACAGTTTAGTCATGTTACAGAGGTAAGCGTTTAGGAGTTAGGAGCCAAAGAACTCTTACTGGTGAAGCCTGTTGTTCTTGTCTGAGTGGAGAATCGAACTCCAGTCTGCTTCAGTGGTATTACCCTCTATGTTGTACCAACCACGTTAACCATTCTTAAACAGATTGAATATTAGTATGAAATGACCAATCCACATTAAGTGTGGTTTCTTAGTCACTTATTGCATCAGTGCAATTTTATAAACCTTTTGGCATCACATCATTAAAAAAAATGCACAACGCTAAAAAGAATGTTGGTGTATGTTTGTCTCCACTACGGTAAATTAGTGTCTACTGTATATGTATATTTATGTGCTTTGCTGCTACAAAACATGAGTGTCTTGACATAGCACTGGTATGAGATTGCCACTCGATATTGACCCATAGCCTGATTTTCAGACATTGCAATCAGTATCAGGAGAGAAAACATTCATTGTAAAGGCAGGTAGACAGTTTAAACTAATTTAGTTCAGCGGTACCTAACTGAATGGGCAAAAACTCAGTTTTCTAGAACATGTTCATTAATCTTCATGTACTCCTCTTTCCTTCTGGCCTTGTGTCTGAGTGAAAAACCCAGTCAGCTTGCCCAGACGCTTTCTGCACTTCTTACGCTGGACGAAATAAACTGTGCTATATTGGTTCCCGTAATAAACATGAATGAAAAGATTTACACTTAGTCAGATTGTGCCAGCACTGAAAACAGCAAAACAGCAATAAACTCTTAGCCCTCTCAAAAGGAATGTTTAAAGTACAGTTAGTGGTCAGTTGTGACATGATATTATATGGTTTTATGTCCTCAAATAATGTTATTATATGGTTTTACATCATCAAATGAAGGCTTTGACAGCCTACTGTAGAACTTGGTCCAGACTGGGTCTAGTCTGTTTGGGCAATAGCATATGGTAGTGATTATAATCTATTTGAAATTGCTGGTATTTACAGAGCCTTTGCTGTTTGTGTGTAGTCTGGGCAGAGGCTTTCGGTGCCCATCCAAAGGTCACAGATGGATCAGTATGGAAATCAGGCTGTGGTACAGGCTTCGTGACCAGAAAAAAACATGTCCAAGGAGAGAAAATACATACATGCTCATGCACAAACACCCTCAGAAGAAGAGCAGAGAGACCTAGGGAAAATCCTTAGTTATGCATGCTTGGAGTAAATTTAGGAGTCAGGAGCTGGCTGCTCTTTTAAGTTGTTATGGTTTAAATGCTGCTTAATCTTCACCCAAACGATTCAAATGTAACAGGCTGTAGTGGATGGGCTGTTTATTTTGGGCTAAAAGCAGGAAAAACATTAGAGGTCAAGCACAGATTCTTCTCGCCTTGTTGTGCTCAAATTAGCTCTTTGCTGTTGCTCTGCAGCCTGTGCACACCCAATTCACTTATTACCCAGAGTCGCCACTCTCTGTCCACCTCAGGGAGCAAAGCTTGGAAGCCTCCTTGATCCTTCACCATTTTTATTCCACTTTGAACCCCAGAGTCATTGAAAGTAGGGCAAAGGGATCCAGCTTTCAGGTTATTTTAATGCCAGGTTTGTTTTGCTCTTCGATGGCGACCATAAGATTTTCTCCCGTGCTTGGAAGGGGGTATTTATGTCCATGTGTGAGATTCTTGCCATGGGCTGCTGAGCATTGGATGGAACAGGACGGGGAAGAGGGAATGGTAATAAGGCCCTGGAATTTCTCAGGCCTAAATCAGGTGCATTGGCCGCCGCGGGAGTCGCCAGGCCGGCGAGGCAGCGTAACGGAGCTCAGGGTAATAAACGCTGATATATGAAGCCTGTTTGTCAGCGGCAGGACCCAGCATGCTTTGGGCAATCAGAGCTGCCGGAGGTACACCTCACTCCCACACAGACACGTAGAGACCCTCTGTGGGAGTTCAAAGAAGCAAGGGCACATACTGGGTTTTGGATGTGGAGAAGTCTGATGCTTGTCTACTGAGCTGAGAAAGGATGTTTCTGGGGACGTCCAAATACTTTCATACTTTAATTGATCAGGATCAGCTATATTAAAGGGGGAAAGAAATAATTTTTTCAGAATTTTCATGTAACTAAATTTTTTGAAGGAAAGTTTATGTAAAATATGCCATTCAATAGAAACTTGCTGAGTCAGAATAGTTCACAGACGGAAGGATAGATCAGCTGTGTATTGTATCGGCCGATTTTCAGCCCAAATATGCCATCAGCTTAACTTAGCCAATCCTGAGAGCTGAACAGTGATGTAATACATAGTGGTCATATTTCGCCTGAGGTGCCAGAATGTAATTGCTGCATCATTTAAGGTGGAACTGGGAAATTCGAACAAGAACTTGACGAATAAAAAGTCAACTTCAGCCTTGTCAAATCTGTTTCACTTGTGAAAAACATTCTTCCTGAAATATATCATTACATATTTGACTCATATTTCACTGTAAGCTCACTGTGTTTGTTGTCAAAGGTTTGAGGATGGGTTTCTGTTAGCATTTTAGCATCCGAGCGTTAATCTTAGCTTATTGCACCAGCTTCATGACCTACGACTTTGGCAGGGCCTGAAAATAAGGCACGGTCGCTTTTGTAGCTCTGCATGTCAGCCCTTTTTTATCGCGTATTTAACAGTCCATCTGTGAAACAGGAGGACTGTTTTGTCCTGTTAGCTACACAGGCTCCGGTTATTTCAATGGTGACGCTAGCCTGAGGCGCCAGAATGTAACAGTTGCAATATTTAAAGTAGAACAGGAAAATTCGAACAAGAAGCTAGCAAACAAAAAAAAATCTGACTTCAGCTTCCATGAGAGTTGAAAGGCATGAAAAGGGATGAGGAGGTTTGCTCTGTTTCTGCTTGACAGATGGGTAACATCAACTTATTTTTTGTTTCACAGGATGAATAGGTCAGTATTGTATCGTCCAGTTTGTTAATGTTTATGATAGCAACTCATTTGCCTTAGCAATGTGCGTCCTTGAATTTCGAAGGTTGAGCTTCTGAATGAGCATTAAAGAGAGGGGTGTATTTGTATTGTTGTTGACTTCAAATATCAACAGTCGTTCTCCAGAATCGCTAACTACGCCTATGTGGCATCGAGCCGCGCCCTCGATCAGTATCGGCTATCGGTGAATCATACTGAAACGTGATCGTTGTCGGCCTACAAACATTGGTCGGTCCATCTCTAATCTGAAGAGCTACAAACAAAGCTGCTGCGTAAAATAGTCTCAGATCTGTTGTGCAGTAGTTTTGAGAAGTTTTCAGGACCCTAAAACAATTACATAAAAATTCAGACATGTAGGCTTACCAGTTGTTTCAGATAGCAAACAAAATGGCTATATTTGTGTGTGTAGACATCTTGACTCTGGTTCTTGTCACCACCACTGTAAAGAATCAGTCAGTGAGTTCTGCTACAATGCACCATTACTCATCAAACCCTTCTGAATGACTTTGTTTACATCTCAACAATATAATTTTGCAGAAATCTTGATAAATTGGTGGAATTTCCCTTTAAGCTCCGTTCATTTCCCTTCCTTTGTTAAGACTGTTTTACCCGGTAGGGCTGGCTTTATCCTGCTGTTGTAGATGTGCCATAAATGGACATGTGGTTTGAATGTCTGCAATGTGGAGCTATTTTAAAGAGGAAAATGAAAACAGATCAACAGATGAGAGAAAGGATTACTTTGTGCATGTGAGGGCACCTACATGAAAATTAAGAATATCCAACACACCAGTAAATGATCATTTCTGAAAAAAAGAAATCCAAAAAAGTGTCAGATCAATGTGTGTCACTTTATGTACTTGGTACAAATTAAGTGATTTTACTATAGCATTATCAGTAGCAACTTAAGATATCTTACCAAAACTAGATTGGATTACTAACTAGATGACTAACTGTATTACTTTATTTGAGGTGTGCACTGTCCAGCTGTATTATATACACCAAGTTTTACATTCTCTACTATTTTGTTTTCAAGAAATGCAGTTATATGATTGAGTTTACTTATAGTCAGTTCATTTATTTCAGAAGTTTGTAACTGAATGCTTTACAGTTCATACTGCACCAAAGAATAATTTACATATACATAATTTGCATAATGCTGTAGGAAGTTGATTGCTCATGTCTGCAAACATCCAGAAAGAGGGAAGTTCTCGTTGGTTTTACTTGTTGGTAAAACATGAAAGATGAAACGCCACACCTGAGTTTCATGTGTTTTATGTACCATTAACTGGACATCATATTTCAAAGAAATAACCTTAAATGTATGTTTTGCATCAGTAATGCATATTTACATTTGGAAAATATGGAAAATACAGGAAAATCCAGTGGTATTTTTTGTAATAGTCATAATTTAAAAAAGAAAATATTTTTAGCTGTGTGGTGACGAGTGCTAGGCTATCCCGTTACAAATGCTAAACAAGTGGCCAACAACAGTGCTAAACTGTTTCGTTTCTCAACAGCGTCAACTTAGTACAAACAGCAAACATTAGCTGGCTCGGTAGGTCAGTGATGGATCACACCGCCTTACTGCCATCACTCCTACCACGTCCATGTCAGAGCATATCACAGTTTTCAAACACCAGCTAGCAGACGTCTGGATTTCTCTATTCTGTCATAGTAGTTTGAGGGGTGAATCGCAATACATCTGACGCTCTGGCTCTCTCGAACCAGACAAACAGAGTCTTCCTTTTAGGTACGTTTAAACTGAAAGCGGTGCTTGATCTACAGTATCATCAATTTGCCGTGCTATGCGAGTGACGGAGTGCTGCTTCAAGTTAGCCAGCTGCTAAAAACAGCTACCCTGGAAAGATAGCGCTCTCCTGCTTTCCAGTGCCTCACAGCGTCCTCAGTTTACTTTCCTATAAATCAGGGCTGCAATTTGTATGAACCCACTTCTTTCTTTCACTTTCGTTGCTTGGGAATGCACTAATACTAAAATATTGGTGTATTATATCGAAAATTTATCGAACCTTTCTTATCGCTCTATCGAGGAAAAGTTATATTGCGATACTTATCGTTATCGTTTTATCACCCAACCCTACTTGTCGCTAAAGGGACATTTTGTTAAACACTATTAAAATCTACAACTGCCAACTAAGTCACAGTTCACGGTCATCCCTTGCCTTTAAAATTAGTTATCTGTAATATCATAGAACAGGTCCATGTTTCTTTGTGCAGGTCAGCAATAGCTAGCAAACACAGACAGGGTTCTGATAAGACCTGATTTTTGTTCATTAAGTGAAAGTACTGACCAGGGCTTTAGGGAGAGGGAGGGGATCAAGAGGGGGTACAGTGATGCATAAAATCCACAAAGGGAGCCTTCGACTTTTAGAGAAATATAAATGAGAATTTTCCTTTGGCCCGAAAAAATAAATGCATACCACATAAGAAACGAGCATTTATGAAGCAACAGTTAGCCTGCCAGTTGAATTGACTCATCCAAGCTGAGAGGCACGTGTGGTAGGGGAAACACTGCTAGTTGTTGATGTGGAATGGGTACACGGTGGGCTGCACAAAGGGGGAGCTGTAATCCAGGTGCCCTCAGGGGTCATTTTATAGTCCGGATTAGACCCACCATGTTTATTTTAATTTTTTTTTTTTCCTGCCCACTGGAGATGTACTGAGCAACCCCTCAGCTGAGAGGATCTGCATGCATGCAGGCTTGGTCTGTTGGGTGGTATAAGAAGAACATCTGTCTAGAAGCGATTATCATTGCTAATCAAGGATTAACCAACAGGAAACAGACACCAAAGCTTCTCAGTGTGTAACTGTTTTTTGGTCTCTCTCTCTCAAACGTGCACACACATGCAATCTCGTACACCACATATATTTCCCCTGTGGATACACGCAAAATGTTTATTGATTATGAAAATTTTGAATCGTTTGCAAAAGTCAGTTCTTTAGTTACTCTTTCTGTAGCTGCATCACGCTCTGATGGAGCACTATAGGTCAGATGGGAATTGTTTGGCACTGCGGAGGTTACTTAATATTCTTTGTAAGTGACTTTGTACTGAACTCTTTATTTACTAGGAAGCTGCTGCAAGCTTTCTGAATATTAACCAGCCCTGTGTTCAAACTCGCATTTGTAATTCTCCTTGTATGCCTCTGCTGAAATTTAATCATATAGAATGTTCTGGCTGAAATATTAAGAGGTGTGATTTGTCTCATTCTTGTTTTAAAAGCTTATCAGCGTTCTCTCTCTCTCTCTCTCTCTCTCTCTCTCTCTCTCTCTCTCTCTCTCTCTCTCTCTCTCTCTCTCTCTCTCTCTCCCTCTCTCTCTCTCTTTCTCTCTCACCCCTCCCCACACATGCGCTCGTATGCATGCACATCACTTCAGCGCCTCTAAAAATATGTTGCACGCTCACGGGAGTCACAGAAGGAGCTGGAGCCAAGCTAGAATGACATGTCTGGGTCCTGACCAGCATCCATCCCACTGTCTGCCAGTGACGTGACCTTTCTAACTGTGAATCAGAGTAATTATTTCACTACTTTTTTCCCCCCTTAAAGACCAGGCAGATTTGAGTGCATTCGTTATGCATTGTGATCCTTTTTCAATTCCACTTGGTTCACTGCGTTCAAATCACTTATGCAGTGTATTTCAATCCATGCGGTTTGGTTGAGTACAGGTATTCTGCTGTGGCCAAGTCTCTGCTGTTGGTTGGTTGAATTGTTTGCACCTTTGTGCCATTGAGTGTTCGTAGATTCTGTTCTTACTTAGGAACAAATGCCAAATAAGAAAACACTGGTGGATCTCAGAATCTTCATGAAAACCACGCAAGTGGGTTTTAAGAAGAAATTTCTTCTTAAGAACAGTTTCTGAATGAGGCCCATTGAGTCTTAAATAGGGGTGATGGGAACTAAAATGATCATATTTCCCACTAACCAGGCAGATATAAGTAGTAATTACTTGTTATTGTCATTTTCAAAAATTATTAATTTAAGTTTAATTAAATAAATATTATATTGTAAAATAATAACAAAGTAATACATCAACAGTGTAAATGGAAAACTGGGTTGCTTTTTGCTAAATTTATAATAGTTAATTAAGTGAATTTTTCACTATTTTTAGGCTTATCACAGCATCCATGGGGTTTTATTTATTTATGTATTATATTTTTAAATTATATATGTCTAATGACAATGTCTTACCAATATTAACTTGCATACCAGTATACCTGCCACCCCTTATCTTAAAATTAATACCTGAATAATAAGCCTGCCGTTTAAGGAGGTAAGAAACTCACCTTCTTAAAGGATTAAAAAAATTACAGACCCAGAATTATCAAGGATTAAAGTGCTGTTTAGGTATTAAGATCAAAGAAAAATTCAGTCTTTAAACATTTCACTCTGAATATGCAGTCACAACATGGCTGTGAATGCAGGGATATGAACATAATTATCTGTCTAGGCTTTTCTTCTGAAATGACCCAGGGCTTATGATTTGGTGATCTTAATTATCTTACTCTTCAGCAAATAATATAAAACTAGTAATCACTGCAGTCATAAGTCTAAGGAATAGAAGTATGAACCCATACTCCCTCATAGAGTTTAAGGAGTTGTCATGTTAATGATTTCCTAAGCAAATGTAAGCTGGATATGATGGATAGCATCTAGAATATAATGCTTTTTAAAGGCTGTTTTTGTGCCTTTTTGTTGAATTTTTTTTTTTTTAACATTCTCTTCAATTTATTTATTTTTATCCCTATTTATATTTACATGAGCATTGCAGGTCATGACAAATGACCTCATCATGTCAGCTAAGTACATGCCACACGCCACACTATGGAGACATGCAGCATGAAACCATACCAATGTCATGGCTCACACTCATCCATCACGCTCAAAAGAGACAAAACACCCAAAAAATATCATTCCACCATGTGACATGATGACAATGACCCTTGAATAACATGAGGTAACCGTATGCCAGAAAGTGGCCTGTCAGTCAGGCTTCACGTTATGCCAGGCTGGAATGCTCTTGGTTATCCGCGGCTTTTTCAGCCGGAGCTGCAGGTCAAGGCTGTGTGCGTGTATAGACTTCATCTAAGCACAGCTTTTAATAACAGTAGCTGAAAGCAGGCAGCAGTCTGAGTGTCTCCTCACACCTTCTCTCAGTGATTGAACAAAGACGGACCACCTTCAGCCTTGAGCCTCTGAAGCTTCACCTTTTAATGGCCTTGTCGGCGCTAAGATGTCAGAAGCTTTGAAGGAAACTGTAGTGAGAGAGACGAGGAAGTCTAAGGCTGCACAATATGTCTGTTACTAACTGTCACCGTGTTAGCCCTTGTTATACTGATCTCAAAGCTGCAATATGCAAATGAAATAAACAAATCTACATGTCTACGTTGAGGGCGAGATTGTTGCCTGTGCACCACTCTGTGAGAAGTTTCACCTCCTCTCTGTACGCCTCCTCGTTGTTGTTAGTAATGAGGCCCACTGTTGCTATCAGTGAACTTGATGGTGTCGGAGTATTTGGCAATACAGTTGTGGATGTACAGGGTGAAGAGCATGGATGATGAGACACAGCTTTGTGGACAGCCTGTGGTGAGAGTGAGGGTGGGAGAAGTGTGGCAGCCCATCCTAACATACTGAGGACTGCTGGTGAGGAAATCCAGAATCCAGCTGCAGACTGTGTGACTGGTTCTAGGGTCTTGAGCTTGGAAATCAGTCTAGAGGGGATAATTGTGTTAAATGCTGAACTGCAATGAACAGCATTCTTACGCAGGTGTTCTTGCCCTCCAGATAGTTCAGTGCAATGTGCATAGCCAATGATATTGCATCTTCAGTGGAACTGCTTGTGCGGTAGGTATGATGGTTGTGGTTTTGAAGCAGGTGGGATAGGGAGACTGTGCCTAGAGCTTGAAGATGTCTGTGAAAAGTGGTTATATATATGGATTTGTGTCTTCAGTTTTTCTGCGTCAGTTAAACACAGCAACTGTCTTTTACTGTGTTTTCAAATTTCACGATAAATGGAGCAATAGAAATGTTACAGTCCCCCAGTGCTTTCTCCTTCTGAAGTTAATATTTTGGAGATTTTGGTGTTTTTTGTTTTTTTTTGTTTTTTTTGGACAGCAGTGGTACATTTGCAAGACCTATTACAGTCGCAATATAGAGATGGCACCGATCCGACAGTGGGTAGTCTGAGTAGTCCAGGATTACGCTTCATCCTATCATCTGATGAATAGTAACTGTGCTTTTACGTTCACTGAAAGTTTCCTGCAAAAGATGTTTTATCACTCAGATTGAGCTGTTTGTTTTTAACCTTCTCATTGCCACATACACCATGGCATTCATGGCGTTTATAATACCAGCTGAGTCTAAATGTAGTCTAGATTTCAGTGTGCAGAGGATTAATGGACATTAAGCTGTTGTGATAGCTTCTGTGTTGAAGTGGAAAGCCTTTTTTTCACTCCACACACAGAGTAAATGTGGGAGTGTATGAGCAGACTAGATCTAAGCTGTATGTTAAGGGGCCGAGGGTGTTGAGTTTCCCATCATGCTTCTCTCTTCCTCTTAAAATGCTGATGTAGCCGGTTACAGCAGGCATCAGTTTTCAGCACTCTGTTACCTACTTCATCACTCTTTCACTTGCCTTCTCCTATCACTCTCCCATCTACCACTCTGTCCCCACTGCCATTGACTACTGGTGCTTGTGTGCAAATATTACTGTTATTGTGTACAATTCAGAGATTGAGGGCTTTACTTACCAAACATACCTCTCTTTTCCTTTGTTTCTCTCTCCCTCTCTCTCTGCCCAATATTCTTATACACTTCTCTTTATCTGTCTCTCAAATTCTCTTTCTCTCTCTCTCCCTCTCTCTGCAGTTTCCATCTTGCTGCCACCAGAGGACATCTGGACTGCCTTAACCTCATCCTTGGCCACGGCGTTGATGTCACAGCCACTGATGCCACTGGTAAGACAGTTTCTTTTAGGTGCCCTATTATTAATGCGCAGTTATAATGGGATGCCACTGGGCAAATGAAAAATTCACACGCTGTTAACTTTTAAAGAAAGGACTTTTGGTCACTGAAAAACTATCGCTGAATTAATCTGCTACACAAGTAAAGAAAGTCTTGACATTTTGAAGTCACAAAAAGTATTCCATGTTTTGTTTGTCCAGTGATTGTTTCTTGCATCCAGAATTGTATTCCATAATTCAGCTGCATGCACCCACAGCCTTGGCCATATGGGATCACCATTACCATTCATTTCCACAGTCTGCAGTGACTTAATCAGATTGAACTTTGCCTCTCCTGTATCCATATAACATTATTTAATGGCATTAATTAAGCACTTTTTAAAAAATTTTATAGAATACTCTTGTTACAGGAACTGTGATTTATAATGTGCAAGCTTTATTGTGCTTATCCTTCTAAGCATTTTCTTTCTGATATTTCTTTCTATCTTTACAGGGAAAAATGCCCTACACCTGGCAGCCCGCAATGGACAGTCACTGTCTGTGCAGAAGCTACTGCAGGTAAGATCTCTTTACTGCCCCCTCTGTCAGTCCACCATGTTCATGTGTGGGCCACAAAAGAAGTATTTAGAGCAGAGGTCTTCAAATCCAGACCTTGAATCCAGTTTCTGTGGATTTTTTATTTACTGGTAGTTAATTGAACTGCTAATGTAACTAATTGGCCACCGTCATGCCTACAAGTGATTACAAAATCCAGGACTCGAAACTAAATTCAGAGCTTGATTTGAAGACCTCTGGTTTAGAATATGTTTGAGAAATGCAGAATAGTTGAATCTATAACTCATTGCTTTCAAGAAGCAGTGATGAACAACAAATGGAAAAATACACTGAGTCTTCCACAGTTCCTCAATGATGTCTGGAGGCAGGAAATTTTAACCTGAGAATTTATTAGAGGTATCTGATTAGGTGTGATGGCTCCAGTCACGTTTAAGCAGATTTGTCCCTCAAGCAAGCCTCCTATATCAAGCACCGTTGGCTATAGCTAAGATGTACACATTTATATACACTGTACACTGAATATAAACTGGATATTAAAGAAAATGAATCAGAAGTTGCCATTCTTTCAGATCTTTCAGATGTGTCTGATTCATTGAAATTATTAATTATAACTATGTAGCAAGAATGGCATTAATCCTGTTTGATTTCCCACCTTTTTTTGAACACTCCCTTTGTGACTATGGTTTGTTAGAAAATAAAAGTGACCAAAAATCATACACAGAATGCCAAATCATACACAGCCCCAGCTGTTTGAAGAGGAGTACAGCCTGATTTTAAGTTTTTTTTTGTTTTTTTTTCTTCAGAAAAACACAGTAGTCAGTGACGATTACAGAGAGTCAGTGACCAAGTCAAAAATAATTTGTCCATGCCCTGCCATTATTTTTCCCAATGCATCTGTTCTCTGTAACTTGGCAGACAATTTAGAGAACAGCATGGATGTCTTTTGTCAATTGTGAGCAGAAAGAATGAAATGTCACCAATCGAAGACCATGAGACGTGGCAGGCAGAGCCGCTGTTTGATTCCTAATGAAGGACGATCTTAACATCTTGCTTTCACTCCTGTCATGTCAGAATCTCATGTCAATTTTGCCTCCTGACATCTTCTAATTACACAGCGGATATTGTGAAGACCCGATGGTTTAGCTGTCTTACTTCATAAAGGCAGAAGCGACTATAATGTGCTAATTTTAAACCGTTACCAACCGTTCAATGCTTTTGGTACATTGAAAAGATTCATGTCTGTGTGGGAAGAATGTCACAAAAAAAGAAAGATCTTGTTGTCAAGGGAAAAATGATCATTATGAAAGCAATTTTTTTGTTAACATATTCATCAGACCAGTTCATAAGACAGAAACGTTACCTATATCAGGGTACCTGCAGATCCTTAAAAAGTCATCATAGATTAAAAAAAATAGGTAATAAAATAAGTGAAAATGGCTCATTTTTACTTTGAGGTTTTAAACTCAGAAGATGAAGAGTTATTGTGCATATTAAGCTAATACAGAATAATTCAGTGTCCTTAACTTGTTTACACTGATCTTCTATTGTGACTCGCTTGTTAGCTCAGGGCTAGTGCATTAGATTAGGGCCTTATAAAGCACAGGTTTTGTTTAATGTTTCTCTGCTGCTTAAAGAAACCAGTCTGAACGGTTCAGGCAAAAACTGCACTGTACTAAGTCTCAATCTTGGTACATTTTATAATTGATTCTGTAATGATCTGAAAATGGCAACATTACCAAAATAACACACAGCATGGTTTTATGCACTCCTTATTTTTGCTCTGTTGAATTGTTCATTGAATCGAGGCACCATTATATCATCTTATCATCAAATGTAGTGTTGTGAATTGTTGCAGCTCAGTTTTGTTACTCTAAGACAGACATCTGTATACAATATTATATGCTATATTACTGCTTCTATAGACCCCCCATGTTGCAAATACTGCTCTAATGCACACACGTGGTAGATTAACTCTTTCATTCAGAGTCAGTGTTTCACTGGCTTTGCTCTCGTGGTAGCTGGTGCTTATGCAAACAGGCTTTAGGAACTTGAGCTGGGTGTTTGGAGTGTTGACAGGGCTACCCTGTACTGTAACCCCAGTCTGTATTTCTGTGCCGTCATCATGGAGGCCATCTGCAATCTGACCCTCGCCCCCCCAACCCACCCCCAAGCAGATAGAGTTACCCAGGACGCAGTTAGATGCCCTGCTACCGGTTTGGGAGGCTGTTGCTAGAGAGAGAAGGGGAGAACGAAAGGAGGAGAAATAGTGGAATAGGGATGGAATGAAATGAAAAGAAGGCCTGGGTTGAAAGAGGGAAAAAAAGAGAGATTGAAAGAGAGTGATTAGGGACTGGTGCTGAGGGACTGGATGTTCAGGCCACTTAGCCTGTATCATGGCAACACTTTCCCTGACTTGACCTGCTTTCATGCTCCTCGAATTCTGGGGCTTCAGAAGGAAGAGTAACTTTAAAAGCATGTATAGATTTTTGTTTCCATTGAAGCACTAACAGACGGTGCAGTGAGGTCTCCTAACGAACATGTTTTGCATGCCTGGGTATTATCTCAAAAGACAATCACTGCATAGCAGACAGAGTGAAAGTATGTGCACATGTCTGTGTGTAATGTGTTGTAGCACAGCTGTCCTGTTGGAAACGTTGACCTGCAGGGGAGAACAGCGCTGCATGATGCTGGTAAGCAAAAGCTTTTACGTATTGATTATTTTCCTCCCTTAAACTTTTTCCACACAAATCTTTTGTTTCCCTGTTGATTCTGCTCTCTCTGTTTCTCAATCTCTCACTTTCTTTCACTGTCACTCACTATATTACTCTCACTCACCATCTCTCTTTCTCTCCCACCCTACCTCCCTCACTTTACTCTCATTCACTGTCTCTCACTCGCTGCCACTCATCATTTATCTCTCTCTTCACTGTTACTCACAATGATTCTCTCATTCACTCTTGCTCTCACTCGCTCACTCACTCTTTCTTTCTCTTTCACATATTTCCATTCTTCTTTCTCTCTTACTCTCATTCTCTCCGCCCTTACACACGTGCGCATGCACACACACACACGCACATACATACATATACACACACACATACACACATATATATATATATATATATATATATATATATATATATATATATATATATATATATATATATAATATGTGTGTGTATATGTTTGTGTGTGTGTATTTTTTTTTCTCTTCTCACTCTCCAGTATTGCTGAAACAGTTTCAGACTGATGAAAATCTTCTAGAAATCCCTGAACGTCTCACCTTGAAGTGCAGTTTTAGGATGGTCCTACACATAGTACAGGATGTCAGAACCTCTGTTGTTGTTTTGTGTTTTAACACCTTCTTTTCTCATTCTCTCTGTTCTTTCTTCTCTGCAGTCATGGCAGGCTGCTCCTCCAGTGTTAAGCTGTTGTGCGACAGCGGGGCTTCTGTCAATGCCAGTGACTTTGTGAGTTTGTACACATAGCTGAATAGAATTCTCCTTCAGAGCTCCACTCAGCTGCTGACTGTCGCAGTGCTTCGGCTACACCAGGATTAGCTACAGAGCGTGGAAAATGTGCATTATAGTTTGATTTTAGTGCCTTTGATGTGGTGTATTGTTTTTCTACAGAGGCTTTCCACAGTGTTAGGAACTGTTTTGGCAATCACAGTGCAGCCTGACTGGGGCTAAAAGGAGAATGTGTTTAGTTATTCCTTATTTATGCCGAGTGACAAAGAGGTCAAGGTTTTACGTTCAAGCATTACCAGCACGCACTGACATTATTCATTCATGACATTTTATCTTGAATGAAGCTGAAAGCTGAAGGTTAACATAGGCTACCTTTCTTCTATGAAGTATTTTCTAAAGGCAGACGATAAGCAGTAGACTCTAGTAGTAATAATGATGCATCTTATTTATGAAACCCCTATGTAATTCAAAATTTCCGTCATTCTTGACTCTGAAACTGTCAGGTGAATGAGTTGTGGTGCCAATTTTGTGTGTACGTGTTTGTAGGACGGTCGAACTCCGTTGGTGCTGGCCACTCAGATGTGTCATCCCCGTATCTGTCAGGTCCTGCTGGATCAAGGAGCTGACATCAGAGTGAGAGACAAGCAGAACAAGTAAATTAACCTTCAGTTCATCCTACCAGCATGTCCTCACTGAAGGCCACTGCACACAGGATGCATCACACACCTCCTGTAGCTCAGTGTTTCATAAAAGACAGTACAAAGAGCAGCTATACCACATAGAGTGCGTCACACTAACCCGGTTTCTATCCAGCTGTCGAAACATATCCAATATCTGAAATGTTGGAAAGAAGATATGTGAATTAGGCTGCATTTCCATCACTCTGTACGAGAGAATTAAGCTCTCTGCAGCATGCTTGTAAAACACGTCTGAGAAATACGGGTCAGGATTATGAAAAAAGTTTAATGTTGAGTAACTTCTCATTGCTGCTTTGTTTCGTTTTATGGCTGCGTTTTACATCATGGGAGGGTGGAGTCAGAATGCACTGGCAAATGTAATTGATCATGAAATGTCAGCGACAGGCACTTTATGTTCTCTTATCGCTGTTGTATTTTTTCTTTGATAGGAGAAAGGTACAGTTTAAATCCTTGTCAGTCTACAGGTTCCTGCTGCCCTCTGTCATATTTTGTGGCTACAGCTGAGCAAAAACTAACACTTGATCGATCTTAAGACTTTTATTTTAAGAATTTTATTCTTACTTACATTATTTTTTTTGGAAAATGCATTTCCATTGGAATTCATCACATTTCCTTTTTCATCAGCAAAAAATGTGTCACACAAGCATTTAAACTTTTTTGTGAAGTTTGACCATTCGATTATTTTCCATTTCCAACAAGTTATTTTAATTCCTCTGCCAAAAAACATACAAATACATGAATGGAAACCTAGCTAGTAAAAGTACTGATAAATATCAAGCTGAAGGGTTATTTTACACTCTACTTGTGTAGATTTAGTGTAATAAAACATTAAACATCATTTAGTCAGTTCATTATCTTTGGTACTAACTTTTCCCAGACCTCCCAAATAAGAAGTGAAAAAAGCAGCTAACAATGGCTGAGGTAGCTGACAATTAGTATTTTTAAGATTATCTTAAAAAGCCATATGCCACCTACAGTGGATTTCTGTGGTCTTGTTGTAGGTTTAATTTGACACAGTAAGAACCCAGTGCCGAGTAGCATTCTCAGAGAAATTGAGCAGTGCTCGGAGTCGCCGAGCAGCAGCACTGCTGAATGTCTGTGGCAGTGGGTGCACTAAAAAAAACTCTTAAAAATAGAGTATCCTAAATGTTTCCTGGCTTGGATTTACATTTTTAAGAAAAAAAATGTTATGTTTATTTAAATTCTGTAATGTTTTTAACTTTGAAAGCATCTCTTTACAAAAATTGATCCATCTACAACACACTGAACAGTGGTACCCCAGGATAAGGACTGAGAACCACTGTTCTGTGAATCCTTTCTTTATTTAAAAAAAAGTGTAGCCTTAATTCTGAAGAGTGTAGTACTATTCCAACGGTTGTGTGTTTTTCACAAGTTTCTAACCTGATGTTTTTAGTACATCTCTTCACGTTTCTTTCTGTGTGATCTTTCAGAACTGCATTGATCCTCGGTTGTGAGTATGCATGTAAGGACGCTGTGGAGGTTTTGCTGAGGAACGGCGCTGATGTCACTGCTGTGGACGGCTTCGGCCATGACAGTTATCACTACGCCCGACTCGGCAAAAACCAGGACCTTGTCAACCTCGTCAAGAGCTACCTGGACAGTGCCACGAAAGGTACCTTAATCCACCTCTCAGTGACCTCAAACTCGTTTACAAATAGAGAGAAGAGCAGCAGCGCAGTGTTTTGGAGTATTTGTTGGACCTTCATTAGTATGCGAGAGCCTTTGCCTTGTTGCATCAATATGCAAGAGACTTTTACCTCCTCATTTCTCTCTCCATGTCCTCTAAGTGCTGCTCTCTATAGCATGCGTAAGGCACATCTGCATATTATCAGTCTTGCATGGTGCATGGAGAAAACAGGTGTAAATCAATCCAGTTAGGTTACGATTTATTATGGAACGATTCACTGCATCTTGAAACATCAGATTTCTCTACAATTTGATTTTGGCATACACTGTATTTGCAAATGAAACCAATAGATGTATTTATATGTAGATTCAAAACTAATCTAAATCTAAAAGCAAATTAATTGATATATTGATAAGCTAATTATATACAAATTCATCATTTATATGGTGCTTTCTTATTAACCCCTACATTTTAACCTGTGAAAATACTTACTTTTCTGTATTTTATTCAATGATTTTTTTAAAAGGAGCGTTTTTGATTTCTTTTACGGTGCAGCTGAAAGATTTAGATTTGTCATGAGTTTTACTCGTAAATAATCAAATTTTGAGCTATTTAATAAATGCTGTCCCATATGTTAGTTTCAGTCCTCTACAGAGAACACAATTCTGCACATTCAAACGCACAATTAGTGGTTATTTGCTAAATTTAATATAACACAAAAAAACAAAAATGTTGCTTTTTTTTCCCCCAGTATGTTCAGCTGAACAAATAAATAGAAATTGTGCAGTAAAATTTTGGGGAAAATATATATATATATATATATATTTATATATATATTTTGTTGTGACAAAATTTTACACATATATTACTGAACATAATCAGCTGTGGGTAATAACATTCCAAAACTGATACCATCAAACTTCATCCTTTAGATGATGATACAGTATAACGGCACACTGATACATTTTTAAAACCCTTAATATAAAATATTGCTGAGGGAGAAAGAGAGAAAGATGAAGAGGAAAAGAGTCAAAATTTCAAGAGTGGTCAGGGAAGGAGGGAGCGGGTTGTGGAGTGGGTTATGGTGTTGCAGCGGCAGTGAAGCAGCAGGTGATCAGACTCTTCTGGGAAATCGGAGCCATCCAGCAGGGCCTGTCTTTCTCCCACCTGTGAGGTGTTTCAGCCACAGCAGCAGGAAAGCGTCACGCACGCAGGAAACTACAGATCAAAGCTAGAAGAAGGGGAAAGGCTTGCTTACGAAACTCTTTCAGTGCGCCTCCATTTGTAGAGGAAAGCCTTTTCAGCGTCCTCTCACCGACTGAAAGGGAAGAAGTGCATTAAAGAGGTCATATGAAAGCTAGCAGCATGTAGCCTTGCCCCTGAAGTGCACTGGAAGAAATCTTAATGTTGTTGACAGTTCTGCATTTACAAGTTGAATTCCTCTCTTGTGAAGTCTAGGTCTGTTTCATCCCCCGTGTTCTGTAAATGTCCATACATTTACCAGCACTGTCTATGCTGAAATTAGTAGAATATATTCACAGAGATCCTACATGCCAACTCTTAACGCTGATTGCATGGAATGGTTTTAACCTTGGTCGGATAGCTGCATGTAAATGAATGCAAATGACTGCATCGTTACAGTTTCATGATGAGTTCTGCTAATTAAGTTTTCAATGCTTTATCAGTTTGTTTGCACATCTGTCAGTATGTTTAGCTTTCATTACAGCCCCTTGTTATGAAGCCTTGCTGCAGAAGTGTAATCATGGCTCTAGAGTTTCCTTTTGCGAAGGCTCCTGGCCTTGGCTGAACTGCGCTCTCATGAATACAGTCTAGCACTTGTGCCTTTGTGCGGAGGAAACCGTGAAATGATAACTAACATTTGACTTCATCTGTATTCACAGCAAAAGAGGCAGCCAGGATGGAACAGAAAAAGAGACAGGTACTACAATACACTTACACCACACCTTGACATTCCTCCAGAAAATACCACTGTTCAGCACCTGGCTGATTAATAGTAGAAGATGAATTCAACATCTATATTCTTTTAAATTACACACTTTCCTTTCTCAGTTCCACGGCTCTTTGGACTGTTTACTGTATCCTGTTCTGAGAAAGCAAGTGCAGATTCTTTGCATGTACTGCTGTCTTTTCCCCGTTCATTATGCTGCCACCTGAGGCAGGCTATGCAGAAGGACAGTTAGCTAGAACAGCTGTGGACAGATTAGGCTGGCTTATGTCCTCTCCTGATATTTTAATGAGAGGTTAGTGATAGGAGGTAGTGTAATTATTGCTGTAATTGTTTGCTGATTTAAACAGCTGTGTGAACTTTTCAACTCTGGCAAATTCTTCACACTGTTTCTAGCATCTTCCCTTTACAGTTTTATAGCGTTACATAGGAATGGTATGGTTTAATTTGACTACTTATTAAGGTAAGCTTAGTTTTACTGTTGACACTTGTTGGTGATACAGATTGGATTGGATTTAATGTCCATGTTTTGAAAGCAGGTACTGCATAATAAAAATTGAAGCTGATGTCTGCTGCATCAAGCACTGCAGAGTGTCCCAATATATTGCTCTGCACTACTGCCATCTAGTGCTGGTGAAAGAAACTGAAGCACATAACCCCTTTATCAGGACTCTCAGGAATACAGAATAACACAGCCTCAATTATAGCTTTCCACCATAGTGACATCTTATCTAGATGCAAAATGTATTTGTTATTCCTCAGTCTCATTATGAGATTTGTGATTAAGTCACTGTTGGCAGAGATTTCCACCCGCTGAGCTGCTGATGTTCTTCCTTCCTGTCTCTGCAGCTGTCTGTGGATGCGGCCTCTGAGACGTTGTTTAATAGGGATCAGATCATTCACGTAAGTGGAACAGTTTTCATTTGCCTATTGGATTTTTGGGGCTTGCAATGCAAATCTGGCAAAATTTAATGGCCGTGATTCAGCTGAAGTCTCTGAAGGACATTTCATCCAACGATTTACTCCATGGCTAACTTTCTGCATATTTTGCTCTGCTTTTCTCAGGACCTGGAGAAACAGAATGAAAGCCAACAAGAATCCCTGAGGAAATATCATCAGGAGCAAAGGGCTCTGCTGGACAAAGTTAACATGCTGCAACAGCAGCTCAGTCAGGTGCACACAAAATATCCTATGTTAAGTGCTTTAGTGAGTTATTATAGATGGTTGTCCTCAGGTACCCTACCTTGGGATAGTAGAATAATGTTCTCTAGCATGAATCTCTGTCAAAATAGCTTTATAATCTCCATGACTCATGTTCAGCACTGTAATTACTGATTGCAGTTCCCTTTTTATTTTATCCCTGTTGCAGGAAAAATCAACGGTGGAGGACATTCACAAAGAGGTAATTTGTCTGTTTTCTAGACTCTCAATAGCTCATCTCTGAATTATCATTTTAAAGCAGTCACAAAAGAGGTGATTAATTGAACACCCTCTTATTTTCACATCTCTCTGTGGTGTTTAGAGAGAACAACTGAAGCTCCTGCTGTCCGCCAAAGAGAAAGAAGAAGGAGCCAGGGCTACAGAGACCGTGAAGGTTCAGCTTCGGAGCCATCTTGTAAGTGGTCAGCCAAGGCAAATAGATGCAAAATGCCCAAAACATCCTCATCCAATCTCTAATGAAGTTTGTGAGTCTCATTAATAAATCTGCATGTTTTTGCTTTGCAGGGAGATTACTCAGGCCAGTCTGTGATTAAAGGTAAGCTTGTCGCATGGATTACAGAAGTGACATGGTTTAACAGGCCTAGTGCTGAGTTTGAACAATATCAGGAATTTATTCAGATGAACTAATGAGTTTTGGTCAGAAAAGTAATTGATTTTTTTTTCCTGTGCAGGAAAAGAAAATGTCCTTGTCAGGCAGTCTCACAGCCTGGATTCAGCTCAGGTGAAGTCATTTGCACAGTAACTTTAATTTTAGAATCTGTGTTTGTTTACTTTTTTAACCTATACATTATATTACATGCAGGAATATTACAGGTAGCATAGCAATAAACCAGCATGGTCTGCTCAGTAATTCACTGCTGTTCTGTCTGTGTGTGACCCTGTATACTGTATGCAGACACAGTGTGTCAGCAGCATTAAGCTTAAGGGAAATGGAGACCTTCTATCTCATTTTATTCTGTCACCTCTGTCACCTGCAGAGGGAGAGATGTTTTTGTGATTCATTGGCTTTAATCTCTGCGAGGACTTTCTCAATTTGGGATCAACTTTTTGAAATTGGAGTTCTCATCTACCTCAGATGTCTGAAGGCTTTTTTCTAGTGAAAATGTAATTTGAGACCATAAGATCTGTGTTCAGACTTGTCCTAGTGAAGGTGACTTTCAAGGTTCGGTATAACTAGGTGCAGGAAAAAGCTTAAGTCTGCTGTTAAGCAATCAGATTGGAAAATGCTGAAGTCTGTTTTATATGTAATTAATTGAGACATGCTGCTGACTCTTTAAACTTCTAATGTGTCATTTGAAATTTATCTCTGTGCAGATTTTGCAGCCTTCGGTTCAGTCTCGTTCCATGTCCCGGCCATTGGAGCTCTCTCACCCTGTGCCTGGGACTCCTAGTGAGGTGGACACACTACGGCAAGAGCTGATCTCCACTCGTAAGAAGCATGATGCCACACAGGAAGAGGTAAGCCGCCTGAAGGCAGCACTGACACAGAAGATCTGTGAGTACGAGGAGCTGGCCAGACTTCGTGAGCAGGCCAAGCACGAAGCAGATCAGCAGATCCAGGAGCTGGAGGGGGCACTGGGAGACGTGCAGAAGAGGATGCTGGACTCTGAGGCCAAGGTCAAGCAGCTGCAGGCCCACGTGGTGGCTGTAAAAGAACACCTCGGCAACCAGATGGTGGACGACCTCAAAGCTCAGCTTGGCGAGGTCAAGGCCAAATACGAGGGTGCATCAGCTGAGGTTGGCCGGGTTAGGAACCACCTGAAGCAGAGTGAGAAAGCCTTGGAGGAGTACAAGAAGAGTGAGGGTGTCTTGGCTCAAGAGGTCGAGAAGATGACAGCTGAGCTGAACGCAATGAAAGAAGAGCGTGAGGTGATGGCTGACACCCTCTTAGAAATGGAGGCTCAAGTTAAAGAAGCAGAAGCCCATCTGGCAGCCATGGTGCCCGGGGAGAAGTTTGACAACATGAAGAACCTTCTGACCAACGCTGTGGATGAAAAGGAGAGGCAGCTGGCCGAGCTGAGGGAGGACTATGACCGTGTGCTGGAGGAGGTGGCGGAGCTCCACAGGGAGGCAGGCGGCCAGGATACCGTCCCGCTCCAGGAGCATGAGAGGATCAAGGCCACCCTAGAGGAGCAGGGCGCCATCCTGAAGAAGAAGCTGGCTGATGTCACCTCCAAGTGCCAATCACTGATCCACGAGCTGGAAGAAGGTGAGGATGAGAAGGAAATTCTCCGGGAAGAGCTGCAGGAGCTCACACAGAATCTCCAGACTAAGTTCATTCCTGTCGACTGTCATGAAGAGATGAAGAAGGGCCTGGAACGCGCCATGGAGGAGCTGAAGGAGCAGCTGGAGGAGACAGAGGAGCGTCTGAAAAGAATCCAGGAGGAGAAGGTCTCACTCTCTGAGAATGTAAACAACCTAAAGAGCACTCACATGCCCCGTGAAAGGTATGAAAGCGAAGTGGCTGCGCTGTCTTCTCATAGCGCAGAGTTGGAAAAGGACTTGGAGAGTCTCCAGAGGAAGTTCCAGGAAAAAGTGAAGGAGCTTGAGGTTGTGGCATCTGAGAACACGTCACTGAAACAGAGTATGGGGGAAGAGTTTGTTAAAAAGGAAGTGCATGAGCAAGTGCAGACAGAGTTGGGTGAAGCATTGGAGAAAGCCAAGACTGAAATTGCCAAGTTGGAGAAAGACGGAGAAGTCAGAGAGGAAGAGCTGAGGAAGGTGAAAGAAGGAAGCGCTAAGTTGAAAGAGGAGTTTAAGAATGTGCAGGAGAAATTAGAAAAGGACTGTATCAGCCTTGTTGAACACAAGGCAGTGACAAGTAAGTTAAATAGTGCTTTAGCTGAGGCACATAAGAAAGCTGATGAAGCTTTCTCCAAATATCAGTCTGTTCAAGAAGAGAACTCAAAACTTCACAAAGAAATTGAAGATCAGAACAGAGAGCTGGACACAATTCAGGAAGCGATTCATTCCAAGTTTGTCCCGCTGACTACCGTAGAGGAAAAGGAAAAGTGTTTTAAGGCTAATTTGAAGGACCTGAGAGAGAAACTAGCTGAAGTACAAGAGAAATATGATAATGCGAAGGCTGACCTGGAAAGTCAGAGACAGGAGAAGGAGGCCATGAAATTAGAGATGTCTTCTGTGCAGCAGAAACTGGAGGCTAACTTTGTGTCCAGTGAGAAATACAGGGAGGCAGAGGATGACTATAAAGGCCAAGTGGAGAATTTGAGTCTAAAACTGGTGGAGCTGGAGCAGCAATACATGGAAGTGACTGTGCAGAGAGCCGAGCTGGAAGAACAGAATGCGCTGTGCACTGCTGAAATCCAGAGCCTTCAACAGCGCCTGGAGAGCGAGTTTGTTCCGCTGGAACAGTTTGAGGCCTTGCAGCACTCGCTGGGATCCAGCTTGCAGGAGGCACAGGCTGAATGTGAACGGCTCAGAGAGGCCTACAATCTGGAAGTTCAGCACGTTCGAGAGTTGGAGAGGGATCTGCAGAGCCGCAGTAATGATGGTCAAGCAAGAGAGACCTTGGAGAGGGAGGTGACAGAGCTTCGACTGGCCCTGAGAGAGGAGGAGGAGACCAGTGCCCAGAGGGCCGAGGACGTGGCCACCCTGCAAACGGAGCTGCTCAGAGCAACACACGCCTTGGATGACCTTCGCAGCCACGAAGGTCAGGTGGCCGAGCTTCGGGCAGAGAAGCAGAGACTGGAGGAGGAGGTGGCTGAGCTCAGCGATCGGCTCTTGGGCCTGGAAGATCAATGTGAGGAGCTGTATAAGGAGCTAACCCAAGCCAGAGAGGGTGAGAGCAAGGCACGGACAGAGACGGAGAACCTCCAGGCCAAAAGCACCTCCATCGAGAAGGAGATCCGAGAGTTGAAGGAGAGATACGATGACTCGCTCAGTACCATCGGAGACTTGCAGAAGAGGATTCAGGCCTCCTCGGAGCAGACCGAGGCCAAAGACAAAAGGGTAAGGATTAGAATGTGGAAATTCATGTGAAATCACCAGAGGTCTCCCGAGTGACCATTGCAGATTTGCTTAATACCTTCAGGAAATAGCCTCATTCTGCCACAGAACCAGTATGCAAAATTTTAGGCTTGTATCTTCATTATTTCTAAGATATAGAGGCTTTAAAGCTGGCCATTGCTGTAATTTTAGCTTTATTTTAAAGCCTCATTCAAATAGCAGTCTGGACTGAAATGCTCCTTTGAACTGAAAGGCAAGGCCAATCTTTTGAATAGGCGGACACATGTGAATGTGTGGGTTTTTGTGACATTGCTGTTGGGTACTGTACTACAGCATGATAGCAAGAACTTTAGAAACGTCTCCCATTCATTACATCTATGATGCGATATCAAAAAAAAAAAACTGAAAGAGAAGACTGCACATTGAATTTTGAAAGAAAATAGGCTATAAAATTTAATAAGCAAGAAGTTTTTTAGGATTGCAGAATCATAAAAAGTAAACATAAAATGAATGGATAAAAATAGAGAAAAGTAATCTCAGCAGGTTATGTTCACACAAACACACAACCTCACACACAAAGGCTTAAGTCCAAAGCTCAAAGAAAATCAGCAAGCTATACTTGGTCAAAGCAGTTATACTTTTATGAAGATTATATCTAAAATAGACAATCTATGTACACAGTTGCAGATTCATTGTTACCAATTAAAACTGCTGTAATGCAGACTGGATGGCCTTAGAAACAAAAAACTGAACACAGTGTCATTGGTGAAATTCAGACAACAAAGACAGTGTCTTAATGACATCAGCCAGAGTCATTCTCAGTAAGGATAAGGGCCTTAAAGTTTTCCCAAACAGTCACCTTTCACCCAGTTATATGGTGATGGAAAACCCCAGTTCGATGTCCTCGAACACTGTAAAACATAATTGTACTATTATCGGTTCATTACAAGAACGGGGGATAATATTGAATTCAAAACAGCAAAAGAGTAATCAGCGATATTTACGACCAAAAAAACAACTAAATGCTATGTATAAAAGTGATTTGCCATGGTTTTTCAAAGGTTCTTCAGTAAAGAAAATGGTTCTATATAGAACCATGAACACTCAAAGAACCATTTACATGATTAAAGGGTTCTTTGCATTGTGAAAGTGTTCGGTCTTTCAAGATGCAAAAACCCTATAATCATCTATAGAGAACCTTTTCTTTACTAACGAACCCTTGAAGAAAAGTCTTATAAGTGTAGTGTTTGCATTTGAAAATAAAAAAGGGGTTAATAATAAGTACAGCACTAAAATGTATTTTAAAATTAAATTGAGGCGTCTATCAGTTTATATCTTTATGATTCCACTTCATGCAGCATACGTCCCTGAAGGGTTTCTTCTCCCAAGTCACTCTACATTGTGAAACTTGGACAGTGTTTACATACATGCTTACAAATTCTTACTAAAAAAAAATCATATTTCCATTAAATGAGCATGTCCACCACAAAATCATTTATATGGACATATTTTATACATTTTAGTTCAAATGTGAAGTTTTCCATGTGAAGACATATTGTTAGTGTCATATGCACCTCATTTTACAAAAGACAAAAGTAAATTACAGAAGAATTACACAGTGTACCATTACAAAAAGTAGTACAAATCTGTCCTGCAAGATCAGAGAAGAAAATAGAACATCAGAGAAGGAACAAGATGTGCAGGTAATATTTATGCATCCTCATGGTCCTGCTGAGACAGTTGGTCTTTGACAGGATATCTTTTGAATCCCTCTGGTGCATATTATGAACATCATGCCCCACTTACATCAACTGGCAGGGATTGTAACTTCTGAAGTGGTGGAACAGATCACTGCATTATTCAGTCTCTTCAAACAGACACTATTTCGCTATTGCCTTTGATTTTTATGACACTGTACTTTGTTACATAGTAAGACTGGGCACTGCAGAATTTGCTAGAGCATAGATTAATGGATTATTTGAATATAAAATACATGATCAAATACATGTAGTGATTATAATGTGTAGTGTGTCTATATTGTTCGTGCCTTTGGAACACAACGTACATTTGACCCTTTCAGAAATATAATTTGAGTCAATATCACATTTTATTTATTTGAAAATAAAATTGTGCTATTTGTAATAGTATTTTGTGAGAGCTATTGTCAGACACAAGCAAGATTATATTATATTATAAAGCCTAAAATTTTGCACAGTGACATTGGCCCTTATTCATCGAAGTTGTGTACGATCAAATCTGATTGTAAAGTAATTGTGCAAAAGTTTTACAGATCTTTTAGCATGTATAGGTGATCAAATTCAAGTCTTGTTGAAGTGAGTGAAATATTTTGACAACATAAATGCTTGATTTGCTGTTAAATAATCAAAAATGATCATGTTATCAATAGTATCAGTGATAACTGCAAAAGTAGAAAATAACCAGGATAATCCAATTAATTGTGCACATGGCCCTATGCTTTTGCTTTATACTACTAACCACGGCCCAAAAGTTCAAAACATAGTAAAGGTGTCTCGCATGCTGTTATAATGTTGCTTAAGGAGCCACTTTTATCACATTACTTAATCACTTCATTCTACAGTCGTAAATAAATCAAGACATTCTGGTAATTTCACACATATTTATTCTTTACAATAATTGTAAGTTTAATGCTCTAAAGCTGTTTAATCTCTTGCCAGTAGAGGGAGCAGTGCACATCCAGTTTCAACCCCATGAGGGTAGGCATAGTTCATGAGCCTGCTGAATGCTTTTGTTGCAAGTAATATGTAAAGATACTAGTGTTTTTGCACTCATTTCCATGCACAGAAGCTGATTAATCAGTCACGCTCAAATTGCCGCTTGTTTCAACATTGTATGAATCGGGCACAACATAATTCATGTCAAATCTGCACTCTTCAACTTTGATGAAGCCCCAATATGAAAATGTTAAAGGATTTTCAGCATAAAATCTAATTTCCACAGTTTTCCACTTACCTCAGATATAGTTGATCAGCCAAGATATGTTTAGTGTCCAAACTGAAGCAAAGTGTTTTCTCTAAATACATCCCCAAAACTTCCTCCGCCTGCTCACGCCACATCCAGGTATTTTTAAGGCCACACAGACTTGTTAATGCGGTTTAGCGCTAAACTAAAGAAGCACAGTTCAGTCCAGTGTATGCAACAAACTGAACATGTTCTTAGAGTACTGCATGTATATTTTAACTGTGCACGTCTCTTTCAGATCACAGAGCTGCTGGCGGACGTGGAGAGACTAAAGCAGGCTCTGAACGGCCTGTCCCAGCTGGCGTACACTGGCAACACGCCCAACAAGAGACACACACAACACATTGACACACTCCAGGCGCAGGTCAAGAGCCTCCAGCAGCAGCTGGCTGTGAGTAGCGCTCCCTACTAAATGCTTGTAATATGCCTGCCTCAGCTTTCAAATACTCTGTCACATCAAACTGGGTGACCCAGCCTTCACAGTGAAACACATGAGTATCGACTAGGCTTAAAGTGGTGTGATTGATAACACTGTAAAGGAATGAGGAAATAACTATATCAGTAGATACCAGTTGGACATTTAATCTTCTTTAAAATGTTAGCCAGACAGATTATAATGCTGTATAACCTTTACATTGAAAGCCCTCTGGCATTCAAGTCATATATTTTGTGTCTGAATATGAGTGATCGGTGTGAAACTGGGCAGGAAAAGACCTGAAGGACGGCTTTTTCTTGTCTGGATTTCAGCAGAAATTGGATTTGACAAAAAAGCAGCTCCGCTTGCTTGCGTTTCTAAACTTTTTTTGAATTTGGATGTGTATGTTGATGAGTTTGGGCCATATGTGAAAGCATTTTTGATGAAGATGGATGTATGGATGGATGTTAAAATACTCATGTCTTAATATTTCTTGCACAGATTTTTTCCCCGACATCCTCTTACAACATTTGAGTGGTGTTATGTACCAAAAATAGTCATTATTTATTCCTACATGACCATTTTCCAACCTCACTGTGATCTTAGAATTAAACAGGATGTTACTGAGCTTTTAAGATTGATCTATGTAAATGACCTCTGTGCTGATTTGCTGCCCTGTTTTATGTCTCCTTTAAAAAACAACCCAGCTGAAACAGTACTTGTACCTTCAGTGTGAATGGGTGAGGCTAAACTGGTGTAGGCTAATAAGTGGCTTTTTGTGTCACAACAACAAAGAATTCAAAATGGCTAAGTTTCTGTAAATGAGCTGTATGAACTGGGGGGGTGGGTGAATAGTATGTTTAAAAACATTGTTTACACACTACATAAAACTTATTTTTAAAATGTGGAAAATTCAGTTTTGTATAATTATGGGCTTTGTAAAACTATTATTTCATGCCATGTAGAATTATTTTTTACAGAATTTATAATTTAGACATCAAATCATTTCTAGTCTTTGCATTTTTGAAAATAAAAAAGTGGTTAATAATGAAAGTACAGCACTAAAAATATATTTTAAAATAAATTTGAGGTCTCAATCAGTTTATGCCTTTATGATTCCACTTGATGCAGCATACTACCCTGAGGGGTTTCTTCTCCCAAGTTACCCTACATTTGTATACAGTTACCATACAAATTATTTTAGTAAAAAAATCATATTTCCTTTATATGGGTACATGCCATATAGAATCAAATGCTAGTGCAAGTGCAGCTAGATGAACTGATGGATAGAGTGAAAGATGAAGAAAAGAGGCCTCCTGCTGTGCTCAGGTCTTCAGACTTGGGCATAATAAAGTTCACAGGAACATGCTCACATTCTCTGACTCACTCATGTACTCTTTCTCTTTCTGTCTCGCACACTCACCCAGGCTGATACAGTTGCAGCCATTGCTTTCATTATGACTGCAGCACAGACTTATACACAGCAGTGAGCTGTCTACACATAATGGAGTTCATTAGGTACCCTGGCTGTCTTATTTTAATTTCTTTTATTTTTACTATTATAGGATGCTGAGAGGCAACATAGAGAGGTGGTTTCAATTTATCGAACTCATCTTCTGAGTGCTGCACAGGTAATGGCGTGTGTGTGGCTTTGTGTAAATGTGTTTATCTTTCATGCTACATTACTAACAGTTCAGCCCAGCTTGCATGTGTTTCCAGACTTTTTTTTGAATTTAGATGTGTATGTTGCTGAGTTTGTCCCGTGTATATGAAAACCTTTTTAATGAAGATGGATGTTGTATGGATGGATGTAAAAGTACTCGATGTTAAAATGTACTGATACCGTATAACATGTAACATGCTGCCATGTTCTTTTGCTGTTAGGTCACTTTCTGAGATACTCTGATTTAGACAGCCGTTCGGGCCAAAGTGTTTTTTTGAAGCAGTGCTATAGGAGAATCACTTTTAGTTCTCTGAAAAACCTGTCAGTGGATGGTTCTTTATAGGAATACCCCAGTGGTTTTGTTCTTAATCTCTGTATCTGTAGCAAACACATTTGTAGTCTACACTCTTGTATTAAAAAAAAAGGGGGGGGCCTCAAAGAGTTCTTTGAGCGATGCCATAGAATAACCCCTTTTTGTTCCCTAAAGAACCAAAAAGTTTGAAAAAGAGATGTGAGTGTGAAAACCTGTTGTGTAATATATTACTCAGCTGTTCTTTCTAGAACCCTTACATCATCTCGACACATATCTAAACCTCAATTTCAAAAAAGGTTTGACAGTGTGTGAAATTTTTTATTGACCTATTTTTGTTTGTGTTCATTCCAAATTTGATGCCTGCAAAAAAACTTGGTACAAGAGCACATCTTACATCACCTTTACTTTTAACAACATTTAATTGTTTGGGGACTGAAGACACCAACTGATGAAGTTTTTCAAGCCATTTTTTCCATTATACAAATGTTTAGCTTCACAACCATACGGGGACTTTGTTGTCAGATTTTGCGCTTCATAATACGCCGCGCGTTTTCAGTGGGAGACAGGTCTGCCCTGCAGGCAGGCCACTGTATCACCTGCACACTTCTATTACTCAGCCATGCTGTTGTAACATATGCATGCGTTGTCATGTTGAAATGAGCATGGACGTCCCTGAAAAAGATGTCCTCTAAAAGCAGCGTATGTTGCTGCAAAATGTATACATATCTTTCAGTGTTAATGGTGCCTCCACAGATGTTCCACATGCCATGGGCACCCCCATACCATGACAAACCCTGGCTTTCAAACTAATCTGAATGGTCCCTTTCTTTCTTTAAACAATCTGAAAGGTTAACCCATCAGACCACATCAGTACACATCTCCACTGTATGTCTGTCCATTTTAGAAGAGCTCAAGCCCAGAGAAGCCGACGGCTGGATGTTGTGACAATGTTTATTGACGGCGGTTTGTCAGTGTATCCCTGTGCCCATGTGATGAAGGGACCGAGGTTAACAGGTGTTCAGTGGTGATTTTCGGCCTTGCCTTTTTCATGCAGGGATTTCTCCAGATTCCCTAGACCTTTTGAAGATATTATACACTAGAGAGTGAAATACCTTGCAGTTCCTCGTTACTGACTTTTTTGGACAAGACTAAGTGTATATTTACAAAAAACAATGAAGATAAGGTAAAACATTAAATGTCTTTGTGCTGTTTATTTTATATAGAGGTCAAAGTGCATTTACAAATCGCTGCTTTCTATTTCTATTTGCATTTCACATGCTGTCCCAACTTTATTCATTTTCCGTTTGGAGAAAACTCATTCACTATTATTCACAACCATAAGTGGTTCTTCTATTGTGTAACAAACCCTTTTCTGGCACCCTTATTTTAAAGAGTGTAGCTTTGATTACCATTGACTGTTATTTAGAGATTTTTCCCTGTGCTTAACATAACAACAGAAAACCTGCTGATTAAAAACGTGTTTTCCTTTTTGTTGTCTGTCTTGAGTCAACAGGTTTTCTAGCACTAATTTTTTGTCTGTGATTATCAGTTGTATGCTACAGATGTAGCTGCTAGAGATTAGGTTAAAAACGTGTTCCGTCAAAGAACCATCTATTGAAAAATACAGTAGGGAACTAAATGTGTTTATTCCATTTCATTGCTCCAAAAAACCTATAAAAAAAAAAATCTTATTTTAATTTAGTTTGGAGAGTGTGGAATCAACATAGTTGTTAAAATTGTAGGTAGCCTCGTATGGGGGGCAAACTGAAAAAGTGCCTGAAAGTGAATTCACTCAGACTGACAGACTGCCTGTTTGTTTTCTTTCTGCAGGGTCACATGGATGAAGACGTCCAAGCAGCCTTGCTGCAGATTATCCGAATGAGGCAGCAGTTTGTGTGCTAAAACCCCGCCTAAAGGCACCACTGACTCAAATCCAACGTTCCTCTCTAGGTTTACAATAAGACAAAGCCATGCCCTCGTTCAGTCAGAAAGCATTCGCGGAATTAGAAGTGTCCTCCCCTGTGTTGGTCTGTGCTTCAGTAGAATGAATCAAAACCTATTATGGCTTTGTAGTGATAAGGAGCATTGGCAACAGCAGTTGCAGAACTGTTGCTAAGAGAGGCTGTAATTAGGCCTACTTTACGCCTCCTAAAAATGAGCAGTGGAGGAGTAGTTTAACTCTGAATCAACAAATATAACGTTTGGCTGGCAATTGTACTCCAGAGTGGCGTAATATGTGACTAAGAGTAGTAATTTGTTGTGCTATAGGCTGTGTCTTCTGAGTTCTATCCTCAGTAGAGGTTTGTGCTGTGTTGTGCCGGGTTTTATGTTGTTCAAGTAATGGAGACTCATGTATCTCCTATTTTTCTCAATGGAATGGCCTCGAGCCTGAAAACAGATGATGTCCATATTTCCCAGGCCTGGCCTCTCCTTGTCTCTATGTAGCTACTTATTTTAGACGCTTAGTCTTTGCTATAATCTGCAGTCAGGGAGCAGGTCTCCTACCTCTGTTGTAATGGGTACTGGGCACAAACAGTCTTTTACTAAGGTCCAAACAACACATCACAAAAGCAGCATGGCTAAATTTACATGACTGGAGCTGGCCTTAGGTGCTTTATCTAGCATCTCCCTTAGCAACAGTAATAGCCACTGACGGCAGCCAAGGTATCAAAAAAAGTGAAAGCTGGATTTGAGTCTGTGAATGTCAATGGCTGTGGATGAAATGCCCCCCCCCCAGGTAATCAGAGATGCTGCTCCCTTTTCCAGCTCCAAGCCTTCTGTTACCTGGATAATACTGCCCTCTTGTGGTGTGACTTGGCTGGCCAAGTTTTGATGACAAAATTTAGCTCTTTGTAGTTTATTTGGCAGTGTAGGAGATGTGACGCCTTTGAGATTTTCTTTGGTGCTTCCAAAATCTGATATTTTTATCATAGCTTTATACTACTTTTAATTAATTATCGCCATGTTTTATGGTAATACTATTCAGCAGGACTGGACTAGAATGGCACAATTACCTATTCAAGGTACAGAACATTTAGATTTTCATATTTTTCATTTTATTAATGTATCATTCTTTCCTTACACTAGTAAAGTGCATTTAGCAGTAACTTGGTGCCCTTTTAGCTGCTTTAGCCGAATCACTGACATTAACATAGCATCATAATGCTGAGTGAAGTAGTATATATTCACTGAGCTAACGCTAATTGGCTACGCCAATAATAACTTATTGCAGAAAAGGCTACTGATTTCTATTAACTGTTAATATGAACATAAATGAAGTTTTGGTTCTCAATTGGGATAGAATGTCATAGCTTCATAACTGTAAATCATTTCTGCTTTATTGATCTAAATGTAGTTTGTTGTTTTTCATGCTATGTAGGCTTCTTTTTTTTTCTTTTTTGTTGTTTTTTTTGTTTTATGAATTAGTGATTTTAATGTCAATAAAAGTGCCTACTTTAGACTAAAATGTCTCTGACTCTTAATCATAAACAAATGAGGTGCAGGATTTCAGCTACTCATGTCAAGAAGCCAAGAACATCTAGCCCGAGTTCTCCAACCTCTTAAAATCATGTTTTGGCAAAAAAATAAATTTACTCCATTTTCTCCATTGCTCAAATGAGGTCGATCAGCCAAGACACATTTGGTGTCTGAAGTTTGCTTCTTTAGTTTTGCAATGGAGCCATGAATCTAAAGGAACTAAAACTAATGGAAAACCTGCATGACTAAATCATCACACACTTGCCTCAAACTGCATCAAGTTGTTAAGCAATCTCAAATAGACTTGCTTATGTGGTTTGACACTGAATGACATTAGCCTCATAGCTGCAGTGCAAAACTAAAAAAAGCATACTTTGAAACATGTCTTGGCTGATCTACTACATTTGGAGTAAGAGAAAAACTAAAATTCACTACAGGTCCTTATTAAGGACCCCATCTGCACAGAACTTCCTGCACATGTTATGTTCATTTTGATTAAATTTATTGATTGCAAGGTGACGTCCTCATATTGTAGATGGTTGAGTTAATGGGAGGTGATTTAAGTATGTAACCAGTTCATATAACCAATACATGGAAGTGTCTTATTAATGATTAGACGAATGTGACCTCCACTTTCTAAACTCCCATTTGTTTTCTTTCTCTCTTTCTACTTTTCTCATTTTCTGTCTTTTGTGCTCTTTCTGTATCTGTCCTTCTGTCTGTCTTTCTGTCTTTTTTCCTCTTGCTTTGTCTCTCTTTCTGTGCTTCCCCTTTCTTTCTTTCTTTCTTTCTTTCTTTCGTCTCTGTGTTCTTTCTGTCTTGACTTTTCTGCCCATCTTTCTTTTTGTTTCTCCCCCTTTCTGTGTCCCTTGCTGTCTTTCATTCTTCCTTTCTGTTTTTCATTCTCTTTTGTCGCTCTTTCTGTTCTTTCTTTCTGTCTTTCTTTTTCTATTCTGTTTTTATTTCTTTCTTTCTCTCCCTCCCTTGTTCTCGCTTTTCCCCTTAGTTTCTCTCTCCTTCTTTCTTTCTCACTCTGCCCCCCTTTTATTCCACGTCACTCGGTGCATGTGGTTTCACTTTAAACACAATCATGGTAGGAATGACGGGGGGCTCTTTGCTGTGAAGGCTCCTCTTTTATCTCGTGGCTCACATTGATTTGTAATTTTGTGTTTAGCTGGAAGGTTTGTTATGCCACAAATACCTCTAAAGCTGGATGTCGACTCTTACAGGATAGACAATATTGCGCTTCCTGTAGAGGGATTTAGACCTGTTTGAAGTCTGGGAGATGTGTATGCCAGCCGGGTGATCCAACAGGAGTCTCTTTTGTGCATGTAACCTCTTCTGTTTCATCCCTTTTTTAGGAATCGTTTCTCTCTGGTGTTCTCTGGTTTTAGCCATATCAGAAATTGAAGTATTATTTCTGAATTTCATGCTAGGTCGTCTTGCACTTGTTTAGCGTTTCCCCGCTGAAGCGTTTCATATCACGCCCTTGAATATTATCAGCTTTACATGCGTGTCTGTTTGGGAATCCAGCTCTTTGAACTGAAATCCTTTGAGTGTACTTGAGCCCTAACCCCATCCTTTATACTTCCTAATGAATCCAACATTTCTCTTGTGTTTGGTTACTTAAGTAAGTGAGAGAGTGGTTTCAGATTGCAGCCCCCCCTCCCCCCGTCTCTCTTTTCTCACTGTGTCTTTTTTATGACTGTGTTATTTGTGGTCTGCCTCGTATAAGCTGTTCACAGCAATTATGGCAAATACAATTCAATCTGTTTGGAGATTTCCCTTTAATCTCATTTCCAGGGCCATAAGCAGAACCAGACACAATCTCTCTCGCTCTCTCTTGCTCGCTCACTTTCCCCCCTTCTTTTTTCTCTGTTCACTTATCGCTTTCTCTTCCTCTCTATCTCTCTCTCTTTCTCTCTTTCTCTATCTCTCTCTTTCTCTCTCTCTCTCTGTCTTTTGCTTTCTCACCCTTTTTCTCTCTCTTTTGCACTTTCTTGCTTTCTTACTCTTTTACCCCCCCCCAACTCTCTCTCTCTCTCGCTCTCTTACTCTCTCTGCTCATTAATCATGGCTGTAAGGATCACAGTGCTGACCCGCTGTGTAACGGGTCCCCCGGTGGGTGTGGAGAGGGAGGGGGGTCCGTCCTGTTCATGCAGCTTTGATGCGCTTAGTTGTCTCAGTTACGCTGCTGTGTGTGTGCTCTGATTCATAACAGGGCTGCACCTTATTAGACTCACTGCATCTGCAAATCCGTCCACGTCTTACAAATTGTCGGTGCTTTCTTTGGACTCTGCTCACTGGCTCTGTAACAGTTTCACTGTTTACCTCATGTCCTTCTGTTTCTCTCTCAGCCTCCTCTGTACTCTTTCTAACCCTTATCATTCTCTTGTTTTCTATTACTGTTGTTTTTTCTCCCCTCTGTGGTGCCAGATTATACTGATGGCCAGTTGGCTTTACAATTTTAGTGTGGGAGAAAAAAAGTGCATTTTAATTAGAATGAGTTTCTAATTAAAAAGAAAAGTCTTTCAGCTACAGTCTTTCATTCCTCATTCTCATAAGTGTAATCTTACATATTAGTATTGCATAGTAGTTACCAAATACTTCATAGCAGTTCTTGAGTGTGTGTGTGTGTGTGTAAATAATACAAGGCCTCACAACTAAATATAATACCCAGTATTCCTTTATCTATTATATATGTATTATATTTAGTTTTTTCTGACAAAAAAATGACACTGGAAATGTGTGGCCTCTGACTTTTGCGCAGTACTCTAATTCTTTCAAGAACCTTTTTAAATGGTCCTTTATAACACTAGAAAGGGTTCCACTATGACTACAAATCAAAGAACCTTTTACAGTACCGTTTAGAACCCGTTTCTGCTATGACAATATGTTGTAGTCAGACTTTTAATACTGTATATTGGTATGAAAAAGATGTAAAACTCTCTTTCCCTCTCCACTTCTCCACCTCCTCCTTCATTCCCCCATCAGTGCGGTCGGTTAGGTCAGTTAAGAGGCTGCTGTCGTTTCTGCTTCCTCCTTAGGGTTGCGCTGACCATGTCTGTTAGTAATGGCCCATTAGCCGGTGAGCGGTCTGTGGACCACAGCACCCTGTGCCTCTCCCTGAGCCCCCCTCTGAGCCATGCCGTCCCCTCGCTAGCCCCTTTAATGTTTTTGCAGACTTCCCAACACTTTGTTGCCTCAATAAAGTTCGTTTATAGGATAATGGGGCTGTGGAGGACACATGGGCCTGATTTGGGCTGGATGGGTTCAGCATGTCTCCGGCTCTGATCCGCTCTGATCCCGGCCTGACCCCGCCACTCCAACACCTGGGAGGAGGGAGGGAAGGAAGAACGGAATGGAGAAAGAGAGCTGGAGAGAGGGGAAAAAGAGAGCGAGAGAGACAGAGAGGCCCTTTCATTTGCCAGGATTTATTGGCTGGCCATGGGAGAGGTCCATTACCGGAGCCAAGCCCTCAGCCTTCTATCAGGAGAGCTGCTTTTATGTGCCAGCAAAAGACCACAGCGCTGTGTTCAGTTCACCGCCGCCACGTCCTGCGAAACCGTTTGTTGTTTTAAAACTATCCCAGAACTGCCCTTATAACTTAAACTTTAAATTGCACCAATAAGCAACTGGAACACGTGCTTATATAAACTTAACCCGCACTCCATTTCTGATTGGAACACACAGGTTTAAGAATCTGAAGCTGTTGACGCTGATTCGAAACAGACCCTTCAACCACATAGTAATTACGCTAGAGGAGGTTAACACGGCGCACCATCTTTTCCCTGAAACGCAATAAGGACGTTATACGCTGCACGCTAAACGGTTTCATCTGAGCCCAGTGTTTTTCTTATTCCCTCATTAGCTCTTGGTTAACCACTAATGCCTAGTGTATCCACTTGCTTTTTCTTTTTCTTTTTTCTTTTTTTTTCTGCCCCTCCACCTTCTTCTCTGCTCAAGGACTTAGCAAAACCATATGTGGCCCCCCTTTTCCCTCCAAGTCCAACTTCTTAATAATCCCCAAGCCTAAACGGAAAACGGGCTGCGTTTCACATGTCTGCTTAGGGCTGACACATGGGGCCGTGTCCGCGGTTTAGCAGAATAAGCCTGCCCAATCACTGACCGGCTGCTTGGAAACAGCGCCCAAACCAGCATCGGCTTTTCATCGTCTTAAAGAGATGAGGCTTGGCCTGCAGCGGCCTGCTTTTCAGCTCAGTGGAGACGGCCTGCGGTTCTTTACAGGCTTGTTAAGAGGGGAACTGCAGGGGAAAAGGTTGGGAGTGCAGCAGATCTGTGACTTTTGCTTGCTGGGTCAATATCTCTCGCTCTCTTTCTCTATGATGTATTGACCTTTCGTTCTGATTCGATCTGATAAACAGCCTCATGATCCTCAGCAGCACGTGTCCATGATCTGTGAATCAGTTCCATCAGTGCAGTAAAGAGAACACGTTCCCATCCCTTTGATTCTCCATCTGTGGGTGAAGGGTATCAATATGCTACCGATTATTCTTACTTCATTATAGTTATACTACAGAGAATGAGGGGTTGTAAATATACAGTATAAAGTTTAACCACTCTGCTGCTTTCCAGTCCAAAAGTAAAAAACCAAAGGCATGATTTTATTTGCTAGCGCAATCCATGATTTCAGTGTGATTCCAGACTTTGGAATGAAGAAATGAATGTCTCCCTGGGTAAAAATGTGTGGCTGACCATAAACGTTTCAAATAGTTGGGCTAAAAAATAAGGCTCAAGGATACAAGAGTGTTTTCAAACCACAACAGATATCAGTGCAGTTTTAACGCCTGTTTATGACCCTGCAAAGTTTTTACTGAGGCAAAAGCTTCCATATTTAAAAGTCACAAAAAAGTGATGTAGCAATTATAGTAAGTATTAAAAAGCTTAAGATTACCAATGAGCTCTTGCTGACTTTTAGCAAGAGTGGCTTTTCTGTCGAATTCTTCCACACCTAGCAAAAGGTTTCAA